AACGAAAACCAGTGTTTGGGGCCTAAATAGGGCATTTTTTCACTGTTTGAGGCCTCAAAAAGGGGGAGGGGGGCAAAAAGCCGTCGAAACACGCTTATATGAGGAAGAGGTTAACAAAAAATGATGAAAAACCTTGGAATTACCCAAAAACTAGATTTTCCATGTTAACACGTGCCCTAACACTGAATTTTGGTGAAAAATTGTTGTTTTTTGACATTTTTTATTTTTTTAATTAACCTTTTACCCCATGAGCATATTGCGAAAAATGGCCGTTTTCATTGAAAAGCCTCCTGTAACAAGTTCAAACTTCTATGAAACTATGGAAAATGCTTCAATACTGATGAAACTTGGCACAAATGTTGACTGCACCATATCCTCTGTAACAGCATGCTCAATCGTAAATTTCCTGTTACCATGGCACAGGGGAACGTCTCAAAATTGCCAAAAATCATTATTTTGCATTGTTTTTTTCCATCAAAACTGATTTGAAAGTGCCGCAACTTCTCAATGAATTGAGATAGAGTAAAATAGAATAAACCCTTATATAAGGGAAAATGTTAATATAATGAATGGGATACTAGTCGTCTTATACAATAGATGGTTAACGCGTTAGCAAACGTATTTGCAGATTTGAGTTTTAGTATTTACCGATCAAAATATAAAGGTAATTTGCTATGGAACTTATGTTTTTATTATTGATATTTTTCTTCATTATTGTTTCTTCTGATTTTCTTATGTTTATTTATTTTAAAGCCAGGGCAAAAATGAAGGAGTGTTTTGTTTGTTTGTTTGTTAATAATTGACATGCTTATGCTTTTGGCAAGAAATCTTACCGAAACGAAATGTAAGAAAACTTATAGCATGCATGCCAGTACACTTAGCATAAAAGCAGTTAACAGGTTAGGTAAAATATATATGTATATACAATAGGTTCTTGACCATTCATTCTCACAAAAATTTCCTAACACAAATATATATCATATAAACTTGCAAGTTAGCACACATATATATACCCATGTTTTTATTTTATATATACATAAACACATACTTATACACATACACATACATGTATATACAAGCATACACCATATTTACATAAATATATAAACATGTTCATGCATTTATAATTGTTTTAAAAAAAATTATCATTAATAAAACATTTATTAATTATAGCTTACTTTAACATTTTTCATTATTATCTCTAGAAACTGACATAATTTGATTAATTCAATTTTATTCTCACTATTAAATAGGTGATTGTATTTCAGTATATTTGGATGTCTATAATAGTATGCTTTAACAAACTTTTTTCTATCATCAATGAAATTTTAACATTCAAGTACACAATGAAATTAATCACCAATATGTATGTGACATAACTGACATTTTCTTTCTGGTATTGGAATACTATGCCATCTTCCAACTTCAATTGGCAGTCTATGGTTTCTACATAAGAATGCCATCATTGTTTTACAGTTCTTTTTGGGAAGAATATTGATATATTTACTTTGCACAAAATTTTCTTTAACAAGATTATAACACTTAGCACTAGATGTTTGTGAAATATTTCCTTTCCAATTTTGCATGATTTTTTTTATCTTTTGTTTAAATGATAATGTTAACCATTTTGCATTAACATCTGAGAAGACATTCCAAAGATATCCATAGCCATTTGATACTATTAAATATCTAACAATTTCAATCCATTTACACTTTATTTGGTTTTGATTAATAAACATATTGAAATATAAATTACTAGATAATTTTCTGGATTCAACATTATGTAACCTACTCCAAAAAGCAATAATTTTATATCTACTTCCAGTACGTGGTAGTACACCTAGTTCTCCATATATCATGTAAAGCATGCATTTACAAAAATTGCACAACATATTCTAATAATCTGACGAACTTGTAAATTTTGTACATTCTACGGAAATTGTGTAATTACTGGGTCTTTCAAATAGTAATACTCTGCTTATTAATCGCATTTTGAAGGTGAAAGAAAGTATATTTTTGTAAAATGTCTGTAAAGATAGAATCCTCAATGATTGAAAGTGAAATGACTCTGCCTTGTCATGCAACATCATGTTAGAGGAACTAGAATGAATTCGCTTTTGGCATTGCGATGTCGCCGCACAGCAACAGGACGATGCGACTTCATTTTGGCGGGAATAGTTTTTACTCTAATATAACCTGATCTATTCAATGCAAAGTAATTTGAATCAAATACATTCGATTCAATATATCACAGGTTTCTTTTGCTGCAGGCAAAGTTGAGATCTGTTTATTAGAATACTTTCCTCGTGTATAAATCTCCACACGGCTCTAATCTGTCCAGTTCGAATTATCAGATGAGTGAATTTCACTACCGTCAATTTGCGTGGTTAAGTCTATTATTTTTTTTTAGGGAGGGGGGTGTCGAACGTATAGAGAGAGGTACGATACTTTTTAAGCGAGGTGAAAAGGTACGATACGGAGTAATGGAGGATTTTAGCATGTTAACACCCGTAAGCGTGGGTATATTTTATAAAATTGCTAGAGTCATTTACTATCAAATCGCAAATTTTACGTGGATCATGTGGGCTCTGACCTACACATATTATCTCAAAATCATAGTAAAAAATATGTTGAAGGTAAATTGATTGTAACTGATTTTATGTCGATGAAAAAATGATAAGATGAGATCCCATACCGTGAATGTAACTTCTACTTGCAACTTATCTAAATACTCATTATAGCGTTGCATAGCAAATGCTTTTGTGCAAAGGTATTTATTGGCGTCTTGTTTTCTGAAAATTAATCTGTACGATGAGTTTTGGTACGATAAGATTACTGTGCGCTGCAAAAGGTTCGAAAATTTTGGTAGTTGTAATTATTACTTAAAACCGTTATCAATCTTCTTTAATTGATCTTTAAAAGGATCGTGCTGAACAGTTCCGGTGATCTCATCGTTTCTTCTTGTGGCTGACGTCATTTACACTGCTTATACCTATAAATACTCAATTAATTTATCACCTTTTTTCAAGATTTAACTTCCCTTTGATTTTTAAAGTTGGTAATAAGATTTTTATTCACCCTGTAGACTTTCTGTTCTTGTTTTCACATTTGAAGTAAATGACTTCAAATTGTATGCAGTTTATCGAAAACGCAAAACAGAATTTTCATTTAATTCCCATTTCTGAAACTTGAACATTTGCCTTTGCATTGAATAGGTAAACTATTTATCATTACTGAATTTTTATCCTTCTTCACTTAAATGTTTTATTCCAATAAAATGTTTCTGATTCCATGAACTTAAGAAAGGAGTTCTGAGGCAGTTAGAAAAAAAGAAAATGTCAATGGGAGTGCAATGTGCTAGACAGATTTTGCCGTTGTTAGTTTTAGGATAAAACCAATGGCGTGCAAAAGAAAAAATTTGATAGTTTATATAATTTCATTTTGGATTTGAACAAACATCCAAGGCAATAGTGAACTTAAGAGCTATAATCTGTATATCCATTCGGATAGTTTGCAGTTCTGATGTACAATTTCGTTGTGCTAAAATTCGTGTTTCGTATATATTGTTACTAAATTTGAATACTATATATGTTAATTTTGCTAACTACGTATTTTATTTAATAGAATAATAAATGTAAAGCCTCTTATTGGGGTTTATGTTTTAATAAAAAAAAATCTTACAAAATCATTATAAAATCTTAATACATTATATATATATGGTTTTCTCTCTCAATTTCTGGCTAACTGGTGGAATGGAATGTCGTGGTGAAATTTTCATTCAACATGTTTCACATACATACGAGCTTAAGACTAAACTGGCAAGATGGTACACATAAAGAAGGCCAATGTGCACTGCCATGTCCAACGGATCTTTCGTTAAACAAGGCTTGTAACAAACATTCTACAATCCTTAGTATGAAGCTTTGTCAAGAACACATACACCCGCGCGCACTCGCACGCACACACACACGCGAAGGAAACATGTCGATTTAGTGTTTCATCGTATCAGAGCGGGAAGACTTTTTCTCCAGTATGAACTGTCCTAAAGTTTAAATGTCTATTTTGGAGTGCTATATAATATTTTGAGGTGTTATATAACCATACGCATATGCTATAGGTAATTGTTCATTATTTTCACCATATATCGGTAACTAATTGCTAATGCCCAGAGAACAGACATCAGTCGGTCATGCATAACACTCATCGTAAGGGGCAAAAGTTTTGCGTACAGTTAGTTTATCGAACCAATTATCATGCGTACAGTAAGAAATACGGAAATATTGTGGGATATATGCGAATAATTCTTTACGTTCTTTTTCTTGATTTTATAGTTTTGCTTTTTTAGTTAACACGTTTATTAGTGCTTTTACTAATCAAGTATCTGTTTCAATATATTTGTTATTGTATTCTTTTAAAATGTTTGTCAGGTTGCTGGTGGTATTTGAAGAAACAAATAACCTCAATAGCTTAATCTCCTTACCATGAAATATATTCTTCATGTGTATCATACTTTGGGGACCTTTCTCTTGAAAATGTGTCAGACTTAAATCATGTACATAATTATATACATGCATATTTCGTTAACTGGAGTGCAGGTATTAGTTAACCTGCGCTCCAGAGCAGCATGTCCATTGATTGGCTCATTTTATCTGGAACGGCAAAGAATGGGATAGCGATAGAAATGTCATATTCAGATGATCGTTCATTGATTACTTTTTTCTGGGGTTTCATGTTGTGATAACAGGGAACGTGTTTTAGTTTTGCCTATGATACTCTTTCTCATATACAAGTATATGGCCTGCTCAGCGTGCACTTAATTATTCGAACAAAATGTACAACATGCAACAAATATATGAAGCAAAACGACTCTTACCCACGTTATTTGTTACGTGTCGTACCCTTTCACATTGCTTAAGAATTTCGTACCTCTATGCATTTGACACCCCCTTGTTCAATAATGAAAAGGTCAGATAATCGAATTTTTTCCCGAAGTACGGCGGAGAGTGCCGGAATTTTTTCCGCTTCACACATTTAAGATCACGTGACCATTTGAGTGTTTATCAACAGCCAACATTATTTTTGGAGGGAAAGTCGTACCGAGAAGATGGAAGGACTGGTGTTCCCTGATAGGAAAGTAAGTTTGTTGATTTTTACGAATTGTGTCGATTAAATTCTTAATTTATTTTCCAGCTACCGGCCTGTGTTGTGTACCTGCTTATTTTTACAGCCAGGTACGTACATTTGCACGTGATAATTGTCTATTAGAAATGATGTGCTATTTTTAGCTGTTAGTGTTCATTTATTATGATACATATGTTATTTTAGTTGATCTTTTGAGGTTTGAAAAGGGGTTTGAGAAGTCGATTTTAGATCAAGCTGGCCAGCCGCGCGACGTTCTATACATCGGCGGTTTTTGTTTATAAAATATCTCCCGCGTGCTGATGTATATACATGTACGAATTTGGTGCATATATATATATTTCCTACCTCTCTTTACTAACAAATATATTTTTGTGTAATTTGTGCATATACACAGTATGTTGATGTTGAAATGGGTTTATGATAGTCCAAAAAATGTTTTAAAATGTAATTTTTGCGTTGTTAGTGATAGTAGTAAAGTAATTTAGTGATATGTAAAGTGGTACTGAATTGTTGTTTTTCAGGGCATTTCCTGCCAAAATGTTTATAGTATTAGTGTTATTTTAGTTGATATGTTATGAAATTAGAAATTGGGCTGTGCTCGTCCAATTGTTTTAAAATGCGATTCTGCCTGGCTTCGCACTGCGTTTACTCGCGATTTTAAATGTGCCGAAATTGCATAATACCTATTTAATAACTCTAATTTAAATTATCACACCCACCTATAAAATAACCCTAATGTGCTCTCCTTTTGTCCCTTCCTATATAAAATGTCAAAATGTTTATAGATTTCTTTTATGTATAAAATTATGTTAGTTTAGTTGATAGGAATGTGTTCATGCTGGTCAATGTTTTTAGATGCGAGTCTGGTCAGTCTGTGTAATCGCGCGCGTTTTTTAGATGTTAGCTCGTGCCGAATTTTGATTTATACTTTTGTCATTTCTCTTCATTATTATAATCATTACCATAGTGCTGTATTGTATTTGATATGAAAATTTGTCTTTTATCTTACCCACCTATAAAAAAGCTATAATGTGTATTCATTCATTCACCCATTCCCCACTCTCTTTAGACCTGTTGTTTGATGTATAAGCCACTCCTTTTAATGCTATGTTTATTACAGTTAGTTTAGTTTAGAAGTCTTGTACATATTATGAAACTGATCAATTAATATGTTTGTGTTTTAATACCTATATTTTTTGTACTTGTAGATCTACAGTACTTGGAAGTTGCCAGGTTCTTCTAATTGTAAAATTATAATAATATATTCCCTTTGAATAGAAGAGGTTGGAGGGTCCTGGTCCTACATTGAAATTATAGTGGATACACGAGGATGTGGATGGTTGTGCAAGATTTGCAAAGTGTGTGTTGGAATGAGGCATGATGGAGAAATTGGGTATTTTACTAAACATTACTTTATTTTAAGGATTTTATCATAGTAACTTTTTTTGTACACAATTTTGTAATTTGTGTTGTGTAAATTGTTGAACAATTTCAGGTATTATTGAGTATTTTACTATATTTTACTTGATTTAAATGGATTTTTCATTAAGAAAAGAACTGAGTTTAAAAAGATTATTTTATTCAGTTGAGAATTACAGTTGATTGTCTATAGCTAGTTAGACTGGAAGGTCAGTGGTTCTATTCATAATGTCAGTTTGCTACTCCTTGCACTTTAATGGTATATTTTCATCTGGCACATAACTTTAAACCATTAAATAACAAGTAGTTGTCTGTTTAGTTGGAAAGTAATTTGTAAAAATATTGTAGATGTTAAAATTATGAGATTAGAATGTTGTTTTGTTACCCCTGTGATCTTTCAGACCATGGAGTTGCACCAAATATGATGATGGATGTGATCTTTCAGACCATGGAGTTGCACCAAATATGATGATGGATGTGATCTTTCAGACCATGGAGTTGCACCAAATATGATGATGGATGTGATCTTTCAGACCATGGAGTTGCACCAAATATGATGATGGCTGTGTATGTGTTGGAATGAGGCATGATGGAGCAATTGGGTATTTTACTAAACATTACTTTATTTTAAGGATTTTATCATAGTAACTTTTTTTGTACACAATTTTGTAATTTGTGTTGTGTAAATTGGTGAACAATTTCAGGTATTATTGAGTATTTTACTATATTTTACTTGATTTAAATGGATTTTTCATTAAGAAAAGAACTGAGTTTAAAAAGATTATTTTATTCAGTTGAGAATTACAGTTGATTGTCTATAGCTAGTTAGACTGGAAGGTCAGTGGTTCTATTCATAATGTCAGTTTGCTACTCCTTGCACTTTAATGGTATATTTTCATCTGGCACATAACTTTAAACCATCAAATAACAAGAAGTTGTCTGTTTAGTTGGAAAGTAATTTGTAAAAATATTGAAGATGAGATTAGAATGTTGTTTTGTTACCCCTGTGATCTTTCAGACCATGGAGTTGCACCAAATGTGATGATGGATGTGATTGTTCAGACCATGGAGTTGCATCAAATGTGATGATGGATGTGATCTTTCAGACCATGGAGTTGCACCAAATGTGATGATGAATGTGCTCTTGCAGACCATGGAGTTGCATCAAATGTGATGATGGATGTGATCTTTCAGATCATGGAGTTGCACCAAATATGATGAATGATGTGATCTTTCAGACCGAGGAGTTGCACCAAATATGATGATGACTGTGTATGTGTTGGAATGAGGCATGATGGAGCAATTGGGTATTTTACTAAACATTACTTTATTTTAAGGATTTTATTATAGTAACATTTTTTTGTACACAATTTGGTAATTTGTGTTGTGTAAATTGGTGAACATTTTCAGGTATTATTGAGTATTTTACTATATTTTACTTGATTTAAATGGGGTTTTCAAGAAAAGAACTGAGTTTAAAAAGATTATTTTATTCAGTTGAGAATAACAGTTGATTGTCTTTAGCTAGCTAGACTGGAAGGTCAGTGGTTCTATTCATAATGTCAGTTTGCTACTCCTTGCACTTTAATGGTATATTTTCATCTGGCACATAACTTTAAACCATTAAATAGCAAGTAGTTGTCTGTTTAGTTGGATAGTTATTTGTAAAAATATTGTAGATGTTAAAATTATGAGATTAGAATGTTGTTTTGTTACCCCT